ATCCACTTCACCGGCAGGCGACCCTGGGATGCAAGAAAGCCCCGCATGGGCTCCGTGCCGCCAGGGAGCAGGGGGATCTGAGGGGAGCAGCCCTGCACACCCGTGGCATCACCAGCACGGGTTGGGGGCACCCCCGGCACGGAGAGTGCCACTGCCCTCGCCCACCCTGGCAAAGCCCCTCGCCCACCACTCACGTTTGTTGTCTTCTTGTAGTAATCTATGTGGTGGATGTCACGGGCCAGACCGAAGTCAGCGATCTTCATCACGTTGTCCTCGGTCACCAGGACGTTCCTGGCTGCCAGGTCCCTGTGGATGCACTGACCGAGCACGGGGCCATCAGGTGGTCCCCAAAGCCCCCGGATGGTTCCCCACAATGAAACGGGCTGGGAGGGAAGGGCATATCCCTGCCCTGAGCCCAGCTGCCAGGCTCCCCGTCCCACCACAGCCCCCCGGGATCTCCTCACCTTCTTGGAGGCCAGGTACTCCATGCCCCGGGCCACCTGGTAGGCGCAGGAGACCAGGTCCTTGAAGGAGAGCTGCTCCTCGGGGACGCGGGTGGGGTTGTAGCAGTACTCCATGCCGGGGGGCCGCCGGGCTTGCAGGTACTCCCGCAGGTTGCCCTTGCTTGCGTACTCCACGATCACATAGAGGGGTCCTGCGGGGGCGGCAGGATGAGCAGCTGGACCACGGGACCCCACGGGTGCAGGGTCAGCCCCCTCCCCTACGTGGACGGCAGCTGAAGGGGCAGCAGAGGGGACGCCCCCTCCCCGCTCCGTGCCCTCACCGTCCTGCGTGCAGGCTCCCAGCAGGTTGATGATGTTCTTGTGCTTGCCGATCATCTTCATCATCTCCATCTCGGAGATGAGGTCGGACAAGTCCTTCTCCGTGGCGTCGGCTAAAGCGGCAGAGAAGGCAGCAGTTGGGGGGCGGCCAGGCTGGGTCCCCCTGCGTTGCACACACCGGGCATTGGGCCGGGACTCCCCCTTCTCGCCGCCACTTACACTTGAGCATCTTCACCGCCACCTTGGTCACACGGTTTGGCTTGTCCTTGTCGAGGCCGATGGCTTCTGCCAGCACCACCTGCCCGAAGCACCCTTCTCCCAGGGGCTTGCCCAGGATCAGCCT